GTGCCCTTGGCCTTGGCCCTGCACGGCTCCCAGACATCCTAGGCTCCTTGATTCCACATGTGCCCCAGAGATGGTCCAGTGACTTGGTGCTGGCCTGAGGGGCAACAGCTTGATAGGGGCACACAGAATGGGACTCCCACTCAGGCTTGGCCACCAAGGGAGTAATGAACTAGCCATGTCCTGGTTCTGGACAAGGTCCAGTCCATGGTTGGTTCTACACACAGAGGCCCTGTGGCTGCCAGGCACAAACTGCATAGAGATTACACGTATGGGTAGGGGTCTGGGACCCGGGATGGCTGTCTAGGGCCTGAGCGTCCCAAGCAGGCAGGTGCCACCCTCCACGCCCGCCTGGCAGTGGTCTTCCTCTAGTCTGTGCCTGTCCTCCCTGCCCCCCCAAAAAAGAAAAAGATCCCATGAACCCATTACTCAGTGCCCCCAGCAGTAACATCTCACGAAACTGTAGTGTAATATCACAACCAGTGTATTGACATTGACACACACAAGAGTATTTCCATCCCGAAAAAGATCCTCGAGTCGCCTTTTAAAGCCGCACCTTGTCCCCTCCCAGCACCATCACCCCTCTTAAATCCTGGCATCAACCAATCTGTTGTGTTCCTGTAGTTTTATTAATTCAATAATTTTATACAAATGCAATTATATAGTAGATCACCTTTTGGGATTGGCTTTTTTCATTCAGTATAATTCTCTGACCAGTCATCTAGGATGTTATATGTATCAGTCCTTTATTCCTTTTTATTGCCAGTGTCCCGTGGTATTGACCTACCAGTTCATCTAATTTTTCACCCACTGAAGGACATCTAGGTTGTTTCCAGTGTGGGGTTATTGTGAAAAAAAGCTGCTGTGAACATTCCTGAAAAAGCATCTGGGTGACTATTAGATTTGTGTTTCTCTGGGATAAATGCCCAAGAGTGCAATTACTGAATCCTGTAGTAAACACAAGTCTAATTTTGTGAGGAATTGCCGTATCCTCTCTAGAGTGGCTGTACCATTTATCATTCACACCAGCAACGGATGAGTGATCCAGCTTCTCTGCATCCTTGCAAACATTTGCTGTTGTCACCATTTTTGTTTTTAATATTACCCTTTCTGACAGATGTGCAATGATACCTCACTGTGATTTTTTTTAATTGAAGTATAGTCATTTTTCAATGTTGTGTCAATTTCTGGTGTACAGCACAATGCTTCAGTCATACATGAATATACATATATTCATTTTCATATTCTTTTTCACTGTAAGCTACTACATCCCTGTGCTATACAGTATAAACTAGTTTATCTATTTTATCTATACCAGTCAGTATCTGCAAATCTCGAACTCCCAGTTTATCCCTTCCCACCCTCCTCTCACTGTGATTTTAATTTGAATTTCCCTAATGGCTATTGATGATGACACATTTTCATCTTTCACCAGCGTATGTTCTTCAGTGTTGCTTGCCTTCTGCCTGTTTTCTGATTGTTTTTGTTGTTATTTTTGTTGCTGCTGTTGAGTGGAGAATTCCTTATATGTTCTAGATAGAAGTCTTTTGTCAGACATGTGGTTTGGAAATATTTCCTCCCAGTCCATAGCTTTTGTTTTGCCTCTTAATAAAGGTTTACACCCAGCAAACATTTAAAATTTTTACGAAGTGCAACTTACCAGTTTTTCCTTTTATGGTTTATGAATTTGGTGTCGTATCTAAAATCTATACATCTAAAACCAAGCTGTAATCCAAGCTGTAGAAAACTTCTCCCATGTTGTTTTTCAAGTTTTATAGCTTTACATTTTAGATTAAAGTCTATGATCCATTTTGAGTTCGTCTTTACACAAAGTGTAAGGTTAGGGCAAAGTTAATTTTTCATTTATTTATTTAGCTTATGGCTGTCCAATTGCTCCCACACCATTTGTGGAAAAGAGCTCCAGCTCTAAGTATGGGATTTAGGAGTCAAAACCAAAAACAAAACAAACAAGGAAGAAACCAAACGCCCTCACCACTGTGTTGTTCCTCGCGTCCTGAGGTCCCCCAGCTAATCTGTCTGCGTCTCTCTACTGTCAGAGTCTTCTTATTTTTTTTATATACAGTGTACAAGGGTTTTCTTTGGAAAATTAGATCCATCCAGAGAGAGGTGGTGCTCCCCAGGAATTTTTTACAGTTATACTGATAAATAACTACTTTTCTCACCTAAGTGCAAACCTTACCTTATTTCATGAACAATTGGACATCTCTCTGGACCATGAAGCTTTGCTGCTCAAGCAGGCGATAAACAGTGTCAGTTTTACTTGGAGCGTGTTAAAAAATGCAGAATCTCAGGTCCCACCTCAGACACACTGAACCTGAATTTTAAGCCAGATCCCAGGTGATATGTACTTGCGAAGCCGCTTAGTAAGCACTGCTCTACCACACAATAAAATCAGCCTGACAGTGACTACAACTTCATCTCACTGGAGCGTGTCCTTCTGCAAACTCACAGAATCACCTCGGGTCCAATGGAATCATTCTCTCCTTCCAGTCTCTATGACCAGCCTGCTCCAGTCCTATGATCTGTTTATTTTTCTCCAAAGGCTTGAGGAGCTGCAAATCACTTTGCTAATATAATGCATAGTGTTGCCGATGACCGATGACCGATGACCGACAACCTTCATAGGTAGAACTCTTTGGTGCCCTTCCATTTGCATTCTTCATCTTACTTTTCCCTCAGTTCACATTCTTTTCTTTTTCTTCTTACATAGCACATCAGTTTCTTTTATAATGTCTTTATTTCTGCTACTTATATTTTTATGTCTTGCTCCTGGAAAGGCAGTCTCTGGAATTCATACAGTGAAGTTGAAAACATACGACTTAGCAAAGATTCTTCCTATTTTTGTTTAATAACTAACAACTTAGTGACATCTTGGCATCTTTCAAATGTTAAATTGCAGGTGCTAATGAAGACTGTTAATTGTTTTGATTATTTAACTTTTTATTTGGAAATAATGTCATGTGTCCATAAAAGATGCAAGAATAAGAATAGTATATATAGAACAATTCCATAACTCCCCCACCTCAAGATTTACCCATTGTCAACACTGACATTGACATTCTTGAAGAATACAGTCCCCTGCCCTTTTTAATACAACTTCCTCATTTGGAGTTTGTTTCCCAATGATTAAATTCCGGGTTCTCAACCAGAAATACACAGTGGTGATATTGGTTCCTTCTCAAGTCAGCTTACCTGAAAGCAGACATCCATTCTGCCCTCACTGATATTTTTCATTGGGGTTCTGTCCAATTTCTTCTCTGTATGTAGTTACTATTTTTCTTTTATAATTGATTAGCAAACTGTGAAGAGATCATTTCAGACTACACGAGAATCTTGCTCATCATTTAAATTTCCTATTAGGTTTTAGCATCCATTTCTGCTCTAAGCCTGACCCAATTTTTACTCTCTGTACATAGTCTCAGATACAGTTGGCATTGGAAGGTTAGCCTTTATTTGAATGTGTACTGTAGATTTTTAACAAAACAAGTTCTATATTTACTATGTGTAGTGTGATTTGAAATTCCCTCTTTCGTGTGTTTTTAATAAAGTGAAATTTATGTAAAAAAATGATTTCTTTCCAACTTCTATGCTGATGTTGGTATATTGATTTTCTATCCAGCAACTTTACCTATTTTTTAGTTCTGCGAGTGTGGAAAACCTTATGGATTTTTTCAAAATTAACAGTTATATTGTGGGATCTTTATCTATTCAGATATTCCCCTTAGCTAGTAAGAAATAAACTCTTAAGCCAATTTTAAGATCCTAGTGCCCAGAAGTTTCTCTTTCTGACTTTCTAGTTTAACTGTGTGTTTTATATTAGTTTCTCCTGCATGTCGAGGCATTTGTAGCAGAGATGCAGTCTGCAATAGCTCAAAAAAAATAGAAGCAAAAAAACAAATAAAAAGTCAGACTATCTAAAAAGCATGCTTAGTACTGTGACTGATTTGCATTTTTGCATAAGCTCCTTATATCAACAGTCCACGGGCCACAATTTGACAAGCAGAGGTCTGGATGGCTCGTTTGATGAAGGAAGTAAATTTCCTTCCTGAACAATTTCAGGTGGTCCAAGAGTTGCTCCGTGTGTAGAGAAGCAATTAATCCATATTTATGAATGATTTAATGCTATGTGAAGTGTGGTAGATGAACCACTCCTGAAATGAGTTAAATCCAAGATAAGCTCTTACAAGTGAAGGCAAAATGCATTTTCTACATAATATTTCTATTTATGAATGTAGGCTCCACCTACTCTGAAACTTTCCTTTGCATAATTTTCAACCTCCTGTCCTACCAGAGCAGAAATCTCAACCATCAGAGTTAGGCTGAGGCTTTTTTTTTCTTCTATTCATTACAATTGAATCATTTGGCAAAGAGATTTTTTTTAATGCATAAACATAAAGCAATTTAATTTATCTTTAGTAGTTTAGATAAATAAGTAAAAATATTGCTTGGTACCTTTTTTTTAATTAAGGAAAGGAAACAATTTAACTTAATAAATACAAAAAGGTTTTATATTTTCTGAATTTTCAATCAGCTATAATACAATAAACATGAATTAATTTATTAGAAAATACAACTGTTCAAAAATTAAAAATAAATAAGTTGGCTGCCACAAAATTGCAACATAACATACAGTTAACTCATTCTGTTACGGTCAGTTAAAAGAAAGATGGCAGAAGGGACGATATGGTTAAAAGTAAACAGAAAAAAAAAAGAGGTGGAAAGATATGAGGGAAAGGAGAGTTAAAGTAAACGGTAAAAAAGAAAGAAAAAGTGTTTTATTGAATGAGTTCGTTATATGAGGTCACCAGGAGGAACCCATCCTCTGACTGACGCACTGTGATGAGAACTGTATCATTTAGATGCTTTTCTTCCCCTGGTGTCTTCAACCCAGAGGTACATCGTGTCCTCTATACAAAGGCACCGTCAGCAAGCTTTCACTCTCCCACCCTGGACCCAAAGAATTGCAGAGAGGTGGTCTTAACTCTGATGGAGGAGCACTGACTACCACTTGCTCACACCTCGATGATGGGGGTGGGAGGTGGGGGTGGGCAAAGAGCACTGGCATCTGGTATCCCTGCTTCCGCCACTACCAAGAAGGCTCAAAGACAATGGTCAACCCGGGCTTTTCTTCTCGAAGTGTTTCTAATGCACATTTTGTATCATAATTGAAATACATTTTACACAGCCTGTAAAAGCAAACAGAGAGCCTAGGGTTATACTCCTGAAATGAACAGAGTTTTGAGCTTTAAAAATCTCATCTCCTCACTGCACTTAACATTCTAAGATTTCCAATGGTGCACTTCATGCCGAATGCGATTTCTGGTATATTTGTAAGCTTCAAGTTTGGAAATGTTTAAACATGTAACTGTAAAGAGAACAGTGTAATGAATCTCCATATGCCCATTACCGAAGTTTGACAGTTAACAGCTCTTGGTTTCACCGACTGACTCCCTACTGCTTACATCAGTGGATTATCTTAAACACAGCATTTCATGCGTCTATAAATATTTCTAGCTGTGACACTAAATAAAGAAGACTTTTACAAAATAATCACAATGTCATTTTCATACCTTAAAAAGTTAATAGGTTTTAGTATCAATATTTGTCTAATCAGTGTTTAAATCCTCCACTTCTGATAACATTTTTATATTTCACTCATTTCATCAGGAGCCATATAAAGTCCACACAGTGTAATTGCTTGGGATGCCTCTCAAGTCTTCTTTGATATCAGTTCTTCCTTTTTTTTTTTTTAATTTCCCTGGCAACTGAACTAAGAAATTGTACCATTTATCTTGCATCATTTCTAGCAGTATTGATTTGGTTGTGTTATGGATTGTTTGTGTTCCTTCAAAATTCATATGTTGAAGCCCTAACCCTCAATGTGAGGGCATTTGGAGATGGAGCCTTTGGGGTGTAATTAAGGTTAGACTAGATCATGGGGGTGGGTCCTCATGATGGGATTAATGTCCTTAAATGAAAAGACACTGGAGCATGCACTCTCTGTCTCTCTGTCTCTGCCTCTGTCTCTCTGTGCCACATAAGGACAGAGCAAGCCTGGAAGAGAGCTCTCACCAGAAACCAAATTAGCCAGCACCATAATCTTGGATGTTCCATCATCCAGATCTGTGAGAAACTAATGTCTATTGTTTGTTTAAGACACCTAGTCTGTGCTGTTTTGTTACGGCAGCCTGAGCTCACAAGACAGGCTGATTACATCCATGGATTCCCCAGTCTGTTTTGAAGTCTTTCCTTCATCTGCAAAGTGTCCATCAGGTCTGGGTCAATGAGCATACATACAGCGATGTCCCCAGCTTCATCTTGACCAATAATTCCCTTTGTTCCTTTATTTCTCTTAGCTCTGGGGATGGCTTTCCCTCGAACAAACATGCTCCACTATGTCCACAGAAGGATACAATGCTGACCTGAACTTCTGTTTATATTAAAACCTGGTTCTTATTATTCGGACTGGTTCTCAGCCTTGAAGTCATGGACAAGGACAGAAATTTCTGAGATAATAGAATTTATAATCTTGGGGTAAAATATAGATAATAAATAAACAGGAAAGTGACATGGCATGTATGATGGTGGTCAACACTATGGGGGGGGGAAATAAGCAGAGAAGAGGAAAGGCATGCTGGGCTGCTATTTTCAGTAGGATGGATGGGGTCAAACTCAAAAAGAAGGCCTCTAAGCAGAGAATTCAAGGATGCACAGGAGTAAATCCAGGGATACCAAAGGAAGGAAAGTTCCAGGCAGAAGGAACAGCAAGTATAAAGGTTCAGACTTGACAGTGTTTTTTTGAAACAGTAAGGAGACCAGTGTGGGTGAACAGAAGGAACACGGGTTAGGAGAAGAATTTGCAGAAACAGCAGGGGCCAGATCGGGTGGGGCTGTAGATGCTGCCGTGAGTTTGTGGCTTTTACTTCGAATGTGACAGGAGCATGTTGGTAAGAGTGGTATGATCTGACTCATATTTTAGCTGCGTCCTCCATCTGCTATGGTAAGATGAATAGCTGCAGAGTAGCCTGGCAGAATGCTGCCAGAACAGTCCAGACAAGAGGTGACAGTGGCTTGAAACCAGGGTGGGAGCCGTGAAGCTGCCAAGAAGTAGTCAATGAGTAGGCATGCTGTGAAAGCAGACTTAACAGGACATGCCAGTGGGCTGGATATGTGCATAAGGAAAAAGAGGTGTCAGAGAGGACACCAGGATTCTTTTGACCTTGAACAGTTCAGACTGAGCTACCACTGACCGAGACGGGGAAGACGCAGGTTTCAGGCAGAGGGAAACAGCACGGGTTTGGATTTGGACATGTGAAGTTTGGGAGGCTTATTGGACATCCAAGTAGGAAAGTGAGGCAAACATTTGCACATGGAATCCATGACAATACGAACTGGCAGGGAGGGGCACAGCACATGTATGAGAAAGCCAGTGGACTAGATGATGTGAACAAGGGAGAAAGCGTAGAGAAGAAGAACTAACCCAGGATTGAGTCCTGGGGCTTCGGCATGTGAAGGTCAGAATGATGAAGAAAGGCTGAGAAGACTGAGCTGGAGAAACTAACGGAGTAGGAACAAATCCAGAGGCGAGTGTGTTGTCCCTAAAGCCAAGCGAAGGAGATGTCTTCCGTGGAGAGTGTGATCATCAGAACTGACAAGAAGTT